TGAGAGCAAAAACAGTGATGTGTGCAGGAGCCAGACATACCTATGAGCACATCAAGCTTGTGAGGGTCCAGCTGGTCCTTTGAGATATTTGTGGCCTCTGAGCCATCTGAGTGAGGCAACGATCCCAGGAAGCTCTAAAGCAAAGAAATGCAGTTGCAAATGAGATATAATAAATATTCATTTAGGCCAGTACTTCCACCTAGTTTAGTTCTTCATTTGCGTATCATTATAAACACTGTAATTCTATTATTATAGCAAATCTTCATTATTATTCTTTATTTAATTTTTTTTTATTTGAGCTAAGGCAGAAAGTTCCAAATCTGGGTTTAGTATTAAGTTGGTTAAAGTTGGCAAAGGTTAAACTTTTAAAGGTTGAATACAGGATCTATGACCATACAATTGGACATAAAGTTGAGCAGTATTTTACATAAAATCACATGCTATTATATCGTGTGGTACATAAAAACATTATTTCAAGCGCATCTTAAAACAATTCTCACATACACGTGTACACTTTAACATTGCTGTTATAACTGAGTTATTGGTCACTGTAATAATTCCCCCTCCAGGTTGCAGTGAAGTGAAATCTCTAAAAAACAGTGTACCTTTAGAAGATATCCACTTTTGAATAGTCTAGCACAGATGCTTAGCTGATGATTCATAGTAGCTTCAGCTAAACTTTAGAATGAATTTATACAAAATGACTGTGGTGATGTCTTTACAGACTATATGGGCAGGAATAATGATTACAGTGACCAATAACTTACTGTAAACATGGACATGTGAGTATTAAGGTAGATTATAAAAATGTGAACCTTTAGCACACAGACAGCAACATATTAGTTGCATTTATTACTCTGATAAAGACCTCACTGGTCATTTTAACAGTGCTCATACACACTCATGCACATTATTAAAATCTCATGCATCAAATTCCAGCAACAGGTTACTGAGATAGTGTTTTTTTTTTTTTGTTCCATACTGAGATAGTTGATTGTTCCAGAAATTTTAGTAACATTAAAAACTGCCGTACAGCAAAAAGCAATACATCACTGTAACGTTAATTGCGTTACTTTTGTAACGTGTTACTCCCAACACTGTTTATAAGACAGACGAAAGTTGCTGTCTCGATTATGAAGCTATTAAAATGCTAACTAACGTTAGCTAATAAATATATTAATCCACGTGCTAGCATTAGCTAATGCACACCAGAGTTATCCACCAAGGAAAATATTTTGAGTGAGCTCAACTTTAGTTAACTTACACAATTGTGTTGTCTTGCTAACAATAATAAACTTAACTTACTAAGAAAGACAATTTTATCTGCGTCTGTCGTCTCCTGCTTGTAACTTGCCAGTCACACCTCTTCTCTTCTGACTTCTTTTCTTATTATGTCTGAGGTGTCCACCTTCGCCAAGTCCGACTCGGTAAAGTAAAACAAAGGAAACCTGAGAAACAAAATGATTTCTGGCCAAAAATAGCTGCCCTCTCAACAACAGTTCACACGTTAACTTTCGTGAAGCGGATATATTTTTAATAAATAGACTAAAATATTGTAAAAAATATACTTTTATTTAAGCATATTTATTAACAGTTTAAGTATATATTTATTACCAATTTATAAGGATACTTTTGAGAACTATGTTAAAGCTCAGGAGAATATATCTTTAATATACTTGTAGTAAGCATGTTAGAAGTATGAATGTACTATAAGCATACTATGTGAAGTATATTTTCTGTGCCTTTAAGAGCACTTCTTTTTGACCTGGGTGACCAAAAATTAAACATCCATATTGACCGACCACCCCCCTGTATCTGCATGAAATGGTTCGGTCCTGCCTCAGCGCACTGTGATTAGTGTTTAGATGTGCCAGAAACACAGTGATCACAATGTTGCCTAATAAACCAAAATCTGGTTTTCAAAAAAGGAAAGAGAGGAAAGACAAAAGAAAGGATGTCAATCTGTAACCCAGTTTTTCACTAAGAAAGGTTGGCAGCCTTTAGTCTGTGAGTTATATTAACCTGTTGGCTTGATGTCCACAGTGAAATAATCTAGCTAGCTGCAGACTAGTGTTAGCCTACATTTCATCAACATTTAATCAGTGTGCAGGGAAACGTTTAGCAAAAGATTCATATTGAATCATTGTCCCTGCCCCTTTTAGCAGACTAACAACAGATGAGTCAGCAGCAGCCCAGTCTCCCCATAACTGTAGCCTCCCTGTCCCAGTGAAGAAGGTGAGCAGCACTGTGTGAATGACAGGCCAGTTAGCATCATGCCAGGGAGTCTGTGGGGATTTCTCTGTCTCTCTTGCTCTTTTTATCATAATAAAAAGAAAATGAAATATTTCTTAATGACAGAAATTCAGACACAAATTATTTTCTCACATAATGATCATTATGAGATAAAATAAAAACAACCTCCTGTCTGTACTGGATGCTGGACAGTTGGAAACATTGAGTAGCTCACCTGTAATTTACAGACAATATTAAAATATAGTTTGATACATTCATTTAGATTTAATTATGGCTGTTAAATGACCGTTCAAAGATTGCCATAAGGACATTTTTATGGTGGCTTTTAATCTTGCATCAAATAGTGAACTGCATACTGTTTGCAGACTTGCATGTACAAATCACCAGCAGTAAATATTGTGCCAGCACTAGTGTTGAACTACAAGAAACAAGACAGTTGCAAGCCTTTAACTCGAGTTATGTAAAGCTTTTGACGGGACAGTTAGGTCCTAGAGATGTGGTGACAACAGCTACGCAGAGGGGGCCAATTACATCTTTTGTCATGGGCCCAAAGTTTCTGGTGGCGCCGCTGTTTCCACGATCTGCCTTTTCAGAGAGATCGTGCTCAGTTTCTGTGGCTCATACACGCAGTTCAACATCGCAAGTCAGCTGCCTGCGTCCTCCGCTGTCTACAAAGGAAACACTGTAACTGTTGGGCCTCGTAAACATCAAAGTTCCCCGTGTGCCCCGCTGCTCTGCCTTAACTCTCTGGGATTTACGGAGTTTGCTGATGAACAGAAAGTTACTTGTTGCTATAGTTACCGGTGACCGTGGCTAACTAGCTGCTGTTATATAATTAGCTCAGTTAGCTTAGTGGTCATAGCTGACTCAGCCCGGACTGGCAGCACCAGGGGAGAGTTTTGTGTTTAACGTTACACCTGTTAGTGAAGCACTGCAAGGTTTCAGGCAGGATAGAGCGGCATGAACGGGACTGAACACAGAGACCAACAGGGAATATATTACCGAGGTGATTTACATCATTTACTTTTTGCTAAACCGCCAACTGTGTCTGTAGCTAGTTAGTTTGGTTAGCCGTGCTGCCAGCTGTCCTTTATTAGCTGAGTCAGCCCCGGGGTGCAAAGAGTCAAACCTGGAAAGAAAACCACCTCGGTCCTGTAACGTTATTCCCTGCTGTCAAAATTGGCCTCTGTCGGTTTGTGTTGGGTCCCGGTCCGGCTGCAGTCATGACAGGGAGGTTAACGCACTTTAAGCGCTGTTGGCGCCAATCAAGATCTGCAACAAGTCCCTCCCTGTCTTTGTGTTTTTAAATGTGCAGAAGAAAACAGCTCATTCTTTCATGGGAAAATTAAATTAAAAAATTACATATTTCAAAATAAATCAGTCCTTTTAAATCAGGCTATATTGTATATGATTAGTAAATTTGTTATTTTTCTCTTTTAAATAAATAACTTGCAAAACAGTCTTGAAAACCAACAAGAAAATGAATCGTGATAAGATCGTGAAACGTGATCCTGCCTGAAATAAATTGTTGCCATATCGCCCACCCCTAGTTGTACACTTTTTAAATTTTTTCACTCTTCAACACTGAAACACAGGTTTTGTCAAAGGTCACAAATGTAGCATTCAGTAGCTCTGTAGCCAATTATTATGCAATGACATTTTATATAGAAATTTTATTTTATGAATGAGTTTCTACATTTGCACAAAACCTGAGAAAGAGCCTGAAAACTTGAGCAACACATGCTGCATCTTAAATCAAAGAATCAAACACAACAGCATGCTTCATTAAGTTATATTCGTTCATTATTCATCCTCCCTGCAGGTCCCTGTTAAGCCATTCCACGCTAACCGCTTCACCTCCACTCCCCTCCTGCTCACTCTGTCCCTCGGCCCTGTCACGGTGACTCTCTCCCTCTGCTTTGCTGTCCAGCTGACGTTGAAGCTACTGAAGCCCCGGTAGCAAACTTATCCGTTATTTTGGCACGTTTGGTGGCATCAGTCTCAAGATTTTTTTTATTTCTTTGGCCCGCAACTTCCCCCTTTACTGACACAAGAAACAGAGGGCAGAGGGGGAGGGAGTAGGTGCTAGTCACAGATGTGGGCCAGCCCAGTGTCATTAGGCCTGTAGACAAATGAACCAATGTGCTGCTGTCTGTGCTTTATGGGCCGGTCGTTGGCAACAGTTATACAGTTATATGAATAAATATCTTATATTAGCGCCAGATTACCAGTCCACCCCTGGAGGTCACCCTCTACAGCAAAACTGCCAGCAAGTCAGACCTGCACACACGCACAACAGCAGACCATCACTTTCGCTCAGTCACAGACCCACATTCACAATGCTGAACCAGAACCAAAGACACTACCATAAAATACAGGCGGCATTATCATTAGTTATTCCTAATTCTCATCATTTCAAGTTTTAAGTTTGAACTTACTCTATTTTTAGCAAAGATCTCCTTTCCTCTTGCTCATGTTGACTGTGAATGAAATGTAATCAAAATTCAATAAAGTAGTAGTTTCTAGTGGTAATGAAATGCCAAAGTATGATGTTTGTTTTGACTGCTGTGTCAAAATATTTCATCTTGCAAATTTGGTGAATTGTTCTCCTGGATAGTTTCAGTTGAGATAAACACAGGAAAAGAGAGAGAGGTTTAAAACTGGACTAAAACTGAATGTATTTCTTGCCTGTGGGGCTGCACAGGCAGTAATTTCCTTGTTTCATGTCTTTGTTCTAAATCAAACAGCACAGAGACCAAAGGCCCAACTGAGCGCTGTCAGGAGAGACTTTCCAGCAGGGGGCAGTGTGACCCTGAGCTGCTCTGTGAACCTGTCATCTGGTTGGAAATACTTCTGGTACAGAGGAGAGAAAACCTCTGAACCCCTGAACACACAAGATGCTGTCTTCATCTCAGATGGACAAATCAGTGTCTCACAGGGAGGACTCTACTGGTGCAGAGGAGGAAGAGGAGACCCAGTTTACTACACAGAGGACAGTGATCCAGTCAGCATCAACAAAATTAGTGAGTTTGACATTTGTTTTTTTATGGAAGTGCATTGCATTCACCTAGGAAAAAAAATGTAGACACCTTATCACGTAATTACCAGAAAGTTAAGAAATCAGTCATCGCTGAACTACACTACAGGAGAAGTGGACAATGATTGCACTACTGAATTTAATCTTCTTTTATTTATTTCTTTATATAAGTCACTGGGAAATATTGATGTTATTTAATGTGGATGGCATTAATATTTGTATGTCAACATTGACTATGGTCAAGAGAGATACGCTTTGTTTTGCGATGCGTGTATCAGATGCAGTAGGCCCATGGGCGCAGCGGGCCTCACATTGGACAGTGAGGCGGCCATCATGGAGGTGACGGACGGCGGAGATCGAGATCGGTAGCGGACGTCGGTATAAAACGCTTTGAGACTCACAGTGAACAGTGAGGAGGTCCGGATGGGACGCGGTTAGGACGGACGGACGGACACCTTAGGCGACGGTCACGGAGGTTTGTGTGCGGCTTCACATTGGATAGTGAAGAAGGGGCACTTTGATGCAGATACTCGGACAGTGGAGGAAATTCTTGTGGACCTAGAACGAGTAAAACGAGTTAACGGCAGTTAGCACACACACATAAAAAGATGTATGCATTAAGAGCTGCAGTTATTAAAGTATAAACAGCAAGAATAAAAAGAGAACACAAAATATTGACATTTGGTTAAAGTAAACGAGGACTTGAAATAAGAGACATTTGGGTCGAGGGGTTTACACAAGAAAAGTAAAGTGTTTATGCTTTATTTCTGATTTCTCGTTTTCATATTTAAATGAAATGTTTTTCTTTTGTTTTGCTTTTTCTTGGTTAAAAGCGATGTAAAATGGATGAAAATGATCAAGGTATCGAGGTAACATGTGGTGTCGGCTGACTCACAAAATGATAAAGAAGAAGCCTCCGTTAAAAAAAAAAAGATCTATAAAACCTACAGCAAAAGCATTGCTTTCTAAACTAAATGACTTGGAGACACTAAGAAAATCCAAATTAAGTAAAGCTGCCAATCTAAAAAAAAGTGTTCAAGGTTTAATGTGAGTCTGGTTATGAAGCTGAAATAAAAGGCAGCTTCAGCAAATATCAAGCTTTGATTAATGACGCAAAAGTTGCACATAATAATCTGCTTGAGTTGTTACCCGTAGAGGAAAAAGAGAAGCATGAGACCTGGTTCAAAGCAAAGCTTTTAAGTGTGCATGAATTTTGCCAGTGTGTGGAAAATCATTTTAAGAGTACAAATAATGGTACTGCAGAAGAGGTTCACCTTGAGGATGAAATAAAGCCAACGGACAGTGTATCAAATGTTGGAACATCATCATGCATTAACAGCCGCACCAGTGAAAGATCAAGTCGATCAAGCAAGGCTGCATTTGAAGTTGCAGAAGCCAAGAAAGCTGCACTTCTGGCACGCGCAGCAGCGCTAAAAAAGAAACATGAAATGGAGAAGGAGGTGGAGTCATTTCGCAAAAGAATGGAACAAGTGGAAATGGATGCTGAGATTGAAGCCTCGGATGCAGAGTTGGCAGTACTGCAAGCATTTTCAGATCAGGATAAAATGGGATCTTATTTTGAGAAACAAAGATCGAAAGAAATACCTGACATTTCTGAAGCAAGGTTTGAGAAGTCTACAAGATTGAGGAAAAATAAAGGCTTACCTGTTGCAGTTGCAAGACCCGCTGAAAATGTTGTACATGCAGTTGATGACAATTCTACACGACAAATTCTGCAAAAGCAAAATGAAATATCCGAGCTGCTCATTCAACAACACAGAGCAAGCCAACTGCCACCAAGACAAATGCCTGTTTTTGAGGGTGACCCACTGAAGTTCAAAACGTTCATGCAAGCTTTTAAGCACTGTGTGGAAGAGAAAGCTGCATCTAAAGGAGATTGCATGTATTTTTTGGAAAGGTACACCAGAGGGCGCCCACACGACCTTGTACAAAGCTGTTTACATATGAGTGCGGAGAGAGGATTTGAAACCGCTAAAGCCCTCCTACAGGAACACTTTGGTAATGAAACCAAGATCACAGCAGCTTATATGGAAAAGGTTCTCAACTGGCCTGTGGTGAAGGCTGAAAATGTTTCGTTACTACAGGACTATGCATTATTTTTACGTGGCTGCAATAATGCAATGTCAGATTTAAGGGATATGAGAGAATTGGACATGTCTGCTAACCTCAAAATTGTTGTTTCGAAACTTCCTTTTAAATTGAGGGAAAAATTTAGAAATTCTGCATGTGATATTCAAGAGAGACACAACCGCAGACCAAACTTTAATGACGTTGTACACTTTGTGGAATATCAAGTCAAAATCTTGTCTGATCCTATTTTTGGTGATATTCAAACTACTGAAAGAGTACATGTTAAAAGGGATGTGTATACAGCAAAGTCTAAGTTGAAGCGAGACAACTTTGCTACAAACGTCTACGCTGTTCGCAAAGTACAACACAAGGACACACAGGAAGGTAAGCATAGGGACAGCAACATCAGCATCAATTGTTTATTCTGTTTACAAAATCACAGTCTGGATGAATGTCAACGATTTGACAATAACAAACATCGTGAAAAGATCAACTTCTTAAAGGAAAATGGAGTGTGCTTTGGTTGTCTCAACATTGGGCATTTGAGCAAAAATTGTGATAAGCGTAAAATCTGTGCAAAGTGTAAACAGAGCCATCCAACAGCTTTACACATTCACGTCAAACAATTGGACAAATCAATGAACCCCAGTGAAACTAAACCAGCTGTAAACCATACGCTTGTGTCAGCTCAGACATTTGGGAGCCAGACCGGGGCCGGTTGCAATGGAATGCTCTCCATCCTGCCAGTTCAGGTAAAAGCACAAAAAGGCAACAAAGTGATCAGACCTATGCTTTTCTGGACAATGGCTCAACATCCACATTCTGCTCTGAAGCTCTTATGCGTAGGCTTAATCTCACTGGGACAAAGTCAAAAATATGTTTGTTAACGATGAGCCCAAAGACATCAGTGTCAACATACATTGTGAATGGACTTGAAATAGCAATGGTGAATGAATGACAATGGTGGTCATAGTGTTGCTGTTAACCGACTATCTGTGGAATCACTTCAGCTGCTATTGGAGAAGCAGTACCAAAGTGACTTTAATGAAAAAATCGCCGACGACAGAGAAGAAATGTCAAGACAGGAGGCAAGTAATAATAAATAATAAAATAATGGACCAATCTGTAAACTTAAAAGACGGACATTACAGTTTAAAATTGCCATTCAAAGCTCAGAAAGTGACACTGCCAAACAATCGTTGTATTGCTCAACAGCGCCTCACTGGATTAAGAAGGAAAATGGAAAGAAATGAGAAGTTCCACCAAGAATACGCAAGCTTTCTTGAGAATGTCATCAGCAGTGGCTATGCAGAAATAGTACCACGGGATGAATTGCGTTGTGGAGAAGATAACCTGTTCTATATTCCTCATCATGGAGTGTATCACCCACGCAAAGGCAATTTGCGAGTTGTCTTCAACTGCGGAGCCAAGTTTAAAGGAACTTCTCTGAACGAACAGCTTCTGCAGGGTCCGACCCTCACAAGTTCCTTAATAGGAGTGCTTCTACGTTTCAGACAAGAACCAGTTGCCTTTATGTACGATGTAAAGTCTATGTTCTATCAAGTCAAAGTGGCTGAGGAAGACAAAGACTTTCTAAGGTTCCTGTGGTGGCCTAATGGAGATCTGTTCAAGCAAGTTGAAGAGTACAGAATGACATGTACATCTCTTTGGAGCAGTGTCATCGCCTAGTTGTGCATGTTATGCTTTAAGGAAGACTGCAGACGACAATCGGAACAGTTTTTCGGACGAAGTGATTGACACTGTACCTAGAAATTTCTATGTGGACGACTGTCTGAAAAGCTCACCATCTGTGCAGAAAGCGGTACAGATTGTACATGACCTGGCTGACCTTTGCCAGAAAGGAGGATTTCATCTTACACAATGGATCAGTAACAGTTGCAAAGTCCTTCAAACAATTCCTGAGAAGGAACACTCTAAAAATGTGAGTGAACTCAATTTGGAAATAGACCAACTCCCAGTGGAAAGGGCACTAGGGCTGCATTGGTGTATGGAAAATGACAACTTTAACTTTCACTTGAACTGCAAAGAACGGATGCAAACACGACGAGGGATTCTATCAGTCGTTAGTTCAGTGTATAATCCCTTAGGGTACCTTGCGCCAGTTCTTCTTCCAGCCAAGCACATTTTACAAGAATTGTGCAGAAGGAACTATGGCTGGGATGAAGAAATTCCACAAGCCCTAAAACAACAATGGATAAATTGGTTGACTGACCTAAAAGGGATCTCAGAGTTCAGAGTGAGTAGATGCTTGAAACCACACGACTTTGGAACACCAGTCCATGCTCAATTGCACCACTTTGCTGATGCCAGCGAGAGGGGATATGGCATGGTAACATACCTGAGGTTACAGAACAAACCTGGTCAGGTACATGTTTCCTTTCTTCTTGGAAAGGCCAGAGTAGCACCACTTAAACCCATAACCATCCCTCGTTTGGAACTCACTGCTGCTGTTTTAGCTGTTCGGGTGGACAAGATGGTAAAATCAGAGTTACAGCTTTCTTTACCAAGATCCTGTTTCTGGACTGATAGTAGCACAGTTTTGAAGTACATCAGCAATGAAAACAAAAGATTCCGAACATTTGTGGCCAACAGAATAAACATCATTAGGGAAGCTTCAGACCCAGCACAGTGGCGATATGTTCACACAAAACAAAATCCTGCAGATGACGCATCTAGAGGACTGACAGTCCACAAGCTTCTGAACAGCAAAACATGGTTATCAGGTCCAGAATTCCTGTGGAAAGCAAGAGAAACGTGGATACATTATGAAGTAGAATCCACAGTAGAAGAGGATGATCCAGAGGTCAAACTGGAGATCTCTACCAACACAATAACTATTCAAGAGGATAATGCAACCAATCAACTCATCATATATTTCTCTGACTGGAAAAGGTTGAAGGTTGCAGTTGCATGGTTACTCAAGGTTAAGAAGACTCTATTGGAGTTGAGTCAAAGAAGAAAGCAACTTGTGATGGTTGAAATGGCTGATCTTTGTTATGTGGACAAGAAAATGTTGGAAGCCAGAAAGTCATCAGGACGAGACAGTATATCAACTGAGGATCTATTAGCGGCAGAAAATGCTATCCTTCAGTTCTGTCAAAGGGAAAGATTTGACAAAGAGATTTGTGCACTAAGGACAGGAAAACCTGTAACAAAGTGTAGCCCTATCTACAAGCTGAATCCTGTTCTAGAGGATGGACTGTTAAGAGTAGGTGGAAGATTGTCCAGGACTACAATGCCCGAAGAGAGCAAACACCCAGTCATCCTGTGTAAAGATCAGTACATCTCCATGTTAATTCTTAAAAATGTTCATGAACAGACAAGGCATGGTGGGAGAAATTGCATCCTCTCCAAATTGAGAGAAAAGTTCTGGGTCACTCATGCCAATGCTGCAGCAAGAAAAATCTTGTCAAGTTGTACTTTTTGCAAACGTCACAAAGGAAAATTGTGTGATCAAAAAATGGCTGATCTTCCCAAAGAAAGGATTACTCCAGACTTACCTCCATTTACTAATGTGGGAGTGGACTATTTTGGGCCTATTGAGGTAAAGCAAGGGCGTTCCTATGTGAAACGTTATGGAGTTATCTTTACATGTATGGCCAGCAGGGCAGTTCATTTAGAAGTGGCGCACTCATTAGACACGGACTCTTGCATCAGTGCTATTCGTCGATTCATATGCCGAAGAGGACCCGTAGCACACTTTCGCTCAGACAATGGCACAAATTTCACAGGAGCAGAGAAGGAGCTAAAAAGAGCAATTGCAGAGTTAAACAACAAATCAATTGAGAAAGCTTTAATTCATGACAACATCAAATGGACGTTCAACCCACCTACAGCTTCACATCATGGTGGTGCTTGGGAAAGCATGATCAGACTGGTCAGAAAGGTCTTGGTATCTGTTTTACATCTACAGACTTTATCTGATGAAACCTTAGTCACAGTCTTATGCGAAGCCGAAGCAATCTTGAATGACCGACCAATTACAAGAGTTTCTGAGGATCCTAATGATTTAGAACCCCTGACACCTAATCATCTTCTTACTTTGAAAAGGAAACCAATTTTGCCTCCAGGCCTGTTTGATCAAAGAGACCAGTACGTAAGACGAAGATGGAAACAGGCTCAGTATCTTTCAGATTTATTCTGGAAAAGGTGGACAAAAGAGTATCTCGTTACTCTACAGGAGAGACAAAAGTGGAACAAAACAAAACGTAATCTTACAGTAGGAGATATCGTTTTGGTTGCGGATGCTACTGCACCAAGAAATTCTTGGATGATTGGAAGAATTATTAAATCTTTTCCGGACAAATCGGGCATAGTTAGATCTGTGCAAATCAAAACCAAAACAAACATAATTGAGAGACCAGTGACAAAATTAGGCCTATTGGTAGAACAGTCAATGTAAAAGTGAACAAACACACCAAATAGGGGTTTATTTGTTCATTTATTTGTTTGTTGTTTTTATTGTAAGATGTTTTTGTTGCATTTATGTCTCCATACATGTGTATGTTTATAATTGTTATGTCTTGTATTGCCATGAACAATTAGGGGCCGGTTGTGTTGGAGCCATTTTGTGTATAGCCATGGGTTGGCGCTGTGTGCAGCCACAAGTCTACTTAAGACATTGGGTAATTAGTGCAGGTGTGGCGCACTGCGAGGTGCAGGGTTTTTGACCGTGAGGCACGGCGTGTAATTATGGAGACTATTGAGTTAAGTTATTATTGAATAAATGTTTTATTTTTTGTTATGTTAATAAATGGATTGGCATATCCGACGTTAAGTTCAGACTTTTGAAAGTTTATTATTTTATTTTATTTAATTATTTTAAGCCAAAAGGCAACAGCACGCCCGAAACACGCGTGCAAAACAACTTAAATGTGCGCCAACAATGCCGTTACAGCAGATTTTACAAATAAAAGTGAACTTCTGGTGAACATATTGTAATATTCAACGGGTAGAAATGAAAGATTAAATGAAATATCTAAATAAATAATAAATGATTAACACTACAGGAGTATCTAAAAAATGTTTTATATTTTAACTGAATTTTCTCTAAATTCACTTTATATTATTAAAAGAAAACCTGTTTCCACTGAATCATTTCACTTCATTGCAGACCGCCACAGTGTCCCTCAGTCAATAGCAGAGCTATCTGATGTAGGATTTCAAAATTAAAGCTTATATTTCACTTCATTTCACTTCAGAGAGAAAGTGATGACTATAGAGGCTTATGTTGAATTTAAAAATTTACACACACTTATAAACAATATATATGTCACTTGGATATGTTCTTGTTTTCAAAGGAAAGGCACATTGTGTTTTGATCAGCTGATCAGAAACACAGTGTAGACATTGTTAATGTTGTAAATGACTCTAGTTGCTATAAACGGATGATTTGTAATGGAATATCTACAGAGGCCCATTATCAGCAAACATCAGCCCAAATGGCACGTTGTTTTTACTAATGCAAGTTTATCATTTTATAAGGCTAATTGATCATTAGAAAGACATTTTGCAGCCATGGTAGCACAGCTCAAAAACTGTTGTGTTGATTAAAGAAGCAATAAAACTGGCCTTCTTTAGACGAGTTGAGTGTCTGAAGCATCAGCAATTGTTCCATTACAGGCTCAAAATGACCAGAAACAAAGAACTTTATTCTGAAACTCGTCAGTCTATTATTGTTCTGAGAAATGAAGGCTATTCCATGTGAGTATTTGTCATAGATCTGAAGCTCTCGTACACTATTGTGCAAAGAAAAATACATATCTCAGACCAGCCAATAAAAAGAAAAGATTAGGGCGTAATCTTTCCTACATCAGATAGCTCTGGTATTGACTGAGGGACACTCACACGTCACTGTAAAGTGAAATAAGTCAGTGGAAACAGGAGGATTTCTTTAAACATCAATCTGAATTCAGAGAAAATTCAGTGAAAATGTCATTCACACATTTTTCAAAAATTTGTGTAGTCTTAATCATTTATTTATTTCATTATTTCATCTTTCATTTCTGCCACACACATTTAATATTACATTATGTTCACCAGAAGCTCACTTTTATTTTGAAATCTGCTGTAACACGATGTTACCGCAATGTTGACATACTGATATTAATGCCATCCACATTAAATAACATCAATATTTCCCAGAGTCTCATACAGAAAAGGGGAAAAGCAGGTTAAATTCATGAGCTCAATCATTGTCTTTCACTGTAGGTCAGCGATGACTGATAGTCTAACTAGCCTTCCTTAACTTTATGATAATTAGGAGTTCCTGATCTCATCATTATAACATCTGTTTTCGTAATTACGAGATAAGGTGTCTTTTTTCTGAATGCAATGCGCTTCCATAATTTTTTAACATAATGTAAACAAAATTTGTATCCATAGTTATTAATTAATAAATCAAGTACGTCTTGATGTAGATTCACCATTTGTATCTTTTCCTCTTTTATTTTTGTATCCTAACTGGGTATTTTTTGTGTAAACAGTGTCCAACAGGGCTGTTGTGACTCTCCAACCCAACTGGACTCAGATCTTCAGTGGTGAGACGTTCACTGTCAGATGTGAGATCCAGGGAGGAGGAGACACTAAATGGACGTATGAATGGACACCAGCCAAATTAAACAGACCTACAACATACAATGAATACAGGATCATCAGAGCTACTGTGTCCCACAGTGGAGACTACAGCTGTAAGGGTAGAAGAGACTCATATTCCTCAACAGAGTGGAGTAATGTCATCAAATTGACAGTATCATGTAAGTTGGACCGTCTGTCATCTGTAATGAAAATGTAAAATCTAAATAACGCAACAGAAAACTCTTATTTCTCCAACAATTATGTCGCTCTCTTCAAGTCACATAGTAACAAAAACACTATCATAAAATACAGGCGGCATCATTACTTCTTCCTAATTCTTACCATTTCAAGTTTTAACTTAATCTATTTTAGCAAAGATCTCTTTACCTCTTGCTCATGTTGACTGTGAATGAAATGTAATCAAAATTCAATAAAGTAGTAGTTTCTAGTGGTAATGAAATTCCAAAGTATGATGTTTGTTTTGATTGCTGTGTCAAAATATTTCACGTTGCAAATTTGGTGAATTGTTCTCCTGGATAGTTTCAGTAGAGATAAACACAGGAAAAGAGAGAGAGGTTTAAAACGGGACTAAAACTGAATGTATTTCTTGCCTGTGGGGCTGCACAGACAGTAATTTCCTTGTTTTATGTCTTTGTTCTAAATCAAACAGCAAAGAGACCAAAGGCCGAACTGAGCGCTGACAGGAGAGACTTTCCAGCAGGGGGCAGTGTGACCCTGAGCTGCTCTGTGAACCCGTCATCTGGTTGGAAATACTTCTGGTACAGAGGAGAGAAAACCTCTGAACCCCTGAACACACAAGATGCTGTCTTCATCTCAGATGGACAAATCAGTGTCTCACAGGGAGGACTCTACTGGTGCAGAGGAGGAAGAGGAGACCCAGTTTACTACACAGAGGACAGTGATCCAGTCAGCATCAACAAAATTAGTGAGTTTGACATTTGATTTGTTTTTTAAACATAATTTAAAAACTGTTTGGAATCCATAATTATTAATTGATAAATAGATTTTGCTGTAGATTTACCATTTTGTCATTTTTGTATCCTCACTATGAATTCTTGATCATGAACAGTCACAAACAGGGCTGTTGTGACTCTGCAACCAAACTGGTCTGAAATATACTCAGGAGAGACGATCACTCTGAGATGTGAGATCAAGGACGGAGGAGACACTGAGTGGGAGTACGAGTGGGAAACATCCAGCTCATACAAACCTTTAAAAGACAGTGAATACAGGATTAGATCTGCTTACTCATCCCACAGTGGAGACTACAGGTGTAAGGGCAGAATGAAAAGTGCACAGCAGTCTTCAACAGACTGGAGTGATCCTGTCAAATTAACAGTATCAGACAGTGAGTCACATCACATTTCTCTCAAAGTGAATATTATACAGTTCATTTAAAGGTTGTTAAATGTTTTTATTTGTAAAAATCCCTCTCCAACAGAGCCCCAGCCTGTCCTCACTGTGTCTCCATCCTGGCTGAGTCCTGGAGCCTCAGTAACTCTGAGCTGCAGAGTTAAAGATCCATCTGCAGGATGGAGGTTCTTCTGGTTTAAGGCTGTTCCCAAACTATCAGGCAACTACTACGACCAAGAGCTGCTACCTGGCAGCAGCAACGGGACTGAACAGGATTCCTACATCGTTCATGGACAGACACACACAGCAGGATATAAGTGCAGAGCTGGAAGAGGAGATCCAGTGTATTACACTTATTACAGTGAACCAATGTTTGTCTGGTCTGCAGGTCAGTTTGTTTCTGTCTGTGCTTCTCTCAAGATGTTTTGTCTTCACCTCGGTTCATCCACTTTCTGTCTGTGACCAACACACAGTATCTTTAAAACTAACACTTATACTGACAAATAATTGGCTGTGTACATTCATGCTCCCCCAACAGAAGAAATGTATTGATTGTGGTGACCTTGTGATCTTTCCTCTCTCACCAGCATCAAGACAAACTTTCTGCTTTCCACCTTACTGGGTGATTTTACGTACTGGACTGGGAGGATTTCCTTGTTTCCTTCTGACTTTATTCTGTTTTCTTTTTTAATTAATCTGATAGCATAAAAACACCAAAGAGAGACATTTTGCTGAAACTTTATTTCTTTATTGCAATGAGTACTTTTACTTTGGATACTGAAGCTCATCTTACTTCTTATACTTTACTGACACAACAGGCAGGACGTGCAGTTAGAAGACACCTGGTTAGCGGTCAGGTAGGTGTGAGACAGACAGAGGAGTGAAAATCAGTTAATGACAAACCAAAGAAATCAGCAGGTTAATGGACAAGTTGAACAAACAGAGACGACTTTAACAAATAAGAGGAAAACACTGACTGTGTATAGAGAGACAATGCAGCATGTTTCAGTTCGAAATACTCACCTCTGTATCTTTGAAAGATGGCAGGTGAAAGTAGGTAGTTTCCCACTTTACAGACAACAGCAGCTGTAGTCACTTGGTTGTTTATCATTTAAATTAAACTCAGATTGTAGCAAGTTTTCAAGATAGAAACCAGTTTCATCAAAACACTGCACCTTGTTTTAATGTTTGCACTAATACTCAGCAATAAAGGAATATTTGTGTTGTAGCATTTTAAATCTTAAGATCTCTGTTTGCTTTGACCCCTTATTACATGTTGTTTTTCAGATTTTCATTCATCAGCGTCTCTCACAGTGAGTCCTGACAGAGTGCAACACTTCACCTCTGACTCTGTCTCACTGAGCTGTGAGGGAAACTCTACTGAGTGGAGAGTGAGGAGGTTTACTGAGGACGACTACCGGGTCATACTCATCATGTCGCTCCTACTGGGGCACAATGACTGGATCCACATGCAGCATAAACAGTAACCAGCAGAGTGATGCAGTGTACTGGTGTGAGTCTGGATCAGGAGAGTTCAGCAACGCAGTCAACATCACTAAACAGAGTATGGTTTCATTATGTTTTCTGTCTTGTATAAATTATTTTAAACATCATATTATGTGTTTCAACATACTGAATATTAGATGTTGTGTACATTTACACTGAGGAGGATGATGTACTGAAAATCTGACAAGAGTTTGGCCCATTACTGCTTCATGGTATCTGAGTAATTGTAGGTGACTAACATTAACCAAAACCTTTTATCTATTTACTGTAGATTTAATATATTCTATAATAATCCAAACTGAATTTTTATCATTAGTAAATATCATCAACTTTTAACACAAAAATGTTAAAATAAGAAAATCTCCCCTCTTTCAAAGTATTTTGTTATATTTTGATGTCTTGAATCATTCACTCAAAAAGCTCAAGATTTATGTCACTGAATTGTTGTTCCTAAAGATTATTACACCACAAATATTATGAAATCAGGTAGAAAATCTGAAGTGCACTGCAGAAAATTTGGTAAAGCCAAATAATTTAGATTACAAAGGGATAGCTGCAAACCAGAAACCTTCAAACGTCTTTTGTATTTATTAAAACTGCAAAACCAAATGATAAATAACAACAAATAAAAAATAATATTTAGTGACAATTTTAAGATTTTGGAAGTTGGTCGTTAGCCATTTTTTGGTGTATCGAAAGCCTCACTTTCTCAATTTTTACTGTTAAAACACAATTACATTCTGGAGTTTTATTAAAGTATTTTGTACAAGAAAAGTACTATATAATTTAACAGGTATTATTTATTATATCAGTGTCCAGGCCTGAAAGCTCTTCAGTTCCTGTACCGTTGATTGTTGGGCTGGTTTGTGGAATCGTATTTATTCTTCTTCTGCTCCTTTTGTATCGCTACAGACCGTCCAAAGGTGAGACCTTTTCTTCTTTTATTAGATATTATGTGATTTAATTATTCAAACTCACGTGTTCTGATCTCATGACACAGAATAGCAGAATAACAGCTTACAAAACAAAACCATGTAACAACAAATGTCTTTTTCACAGATTCCTGCTCCATCAGGTTAGTACAACACTCCCTTCTCTAATTTTGAAGACAACAGCAACATTTCTTTTTATATGTATTGTGTTTGATTCATGTTGTAGGTCAATCCAGTCTGAGAGCACTAATCGAGGCCCTGACACAGTTTATGTGGTCGACCAGAATGAGGCTCAACGTGATGAATACTCCACCCTTCTCCATGGTCAGCATTTAAACTTTTGATTATTTTATATTATATTATTATATTTTATTTACATACACACGTAGGCTACACATATATACATCTCAAGAGCCATTTGACGCTAATCAGAATATGTTTAATAATTGTCAAGCAATTAAATTGATTAATCTACTCTGGGCTTTATTTTCACTGCTCTGTAGGTGATGTTTGTCTCTATGAAACAATCAAAGGCTCCAAAGAAAATGAAAATGGTACAGTACACACCTTAACATACTGTATGTGCATATGCAGTATGAATTATATAATAATAATATATTGTGCTATATATAATATTTTATTTTGAACATATAGGGTTCTGCGCAGTATCTTATCTGTTCCTAGGACTGCACTCTTCTGGACAGAGACCTCTGATGTTCTACCTGGAATCTGCTGTAGCCACTCTCCCAGTTTGGGGGTCACAGCCCCCAGTGCTCCGATTACCACTGGCACCACTGTTGCTCTTACTTTCCACATCTTTTCTAGCTCCTCTTTCAGCCCTTGGTATTTCTCAAGCTTCTCGTGTTCCTTCTTCTTGACGTTGTCACTTGGGATTACCACATCTATCACTGCAGCCTTCTTCTGCTGTTTGTCGATCAACACGATGTCTGGTTGGTTAGCCGTCACCAGTTTGTCAGTCTGGATCTTGAAGTCCCGCAGGATCTTAGCTCAGTCATTCTCAACTACATTAGGAGGCGTCTTCCATTTTGACCATTTGACCATCTTCCTGATGTACTCCTGGATCTTTGTTGTTTCATCCTGGTCAGTGGTCTTGACACTCACGAGCCCTCGGCCTCCCTCGCTCCACTTAGTGTACAGTCTCAGGGTGCTGGATTTGGGGTGAAACCCTCCATGCATTGTGAGGAGCTTTCTCGTCTTGATGTCAGTAGCCTCTATCTCCTCCTTTGTCCAGTTTATTATACCAGCAGGGTATCTGATGACTGGCAGGGCGTATGTGTTGATGGCTCAGATCTTGTTCTTCCCCTTCAGCTGACTTTTCAGGACCTGCCTTACTCTCCTGCTGCCTCCTCATGGTTTCCGTTAGCCTGCGGTACTTGTAGCTGTCCTGAACATCTGCAATGTTGCCTTCTGGTAGTTCAGCCCCCTCGGTTCTGATCATTTTCCCTCTTTTCGATACCATGCGCCCACACTTGTCCAGTCCGAACGACATTCCAATGTCGTTGCTGTAGATCCTGGTGTATCAGTGAGTCTCGCTCATTTCTGGCATACAGCTTGATGTCATCCATGAAACAGGTATCCGTAACCAGTCTTTGTGATGATCTGGCTGGGGGGGTTCAGGCAGAACAGCAGCGGGGATAGTATATCGCCTTGGTATGTGCCGCACTTGATGGTGACTTGTGCAATTGGCTTTGTTTTGGCTTCCAGACTTGTTTTCCACAGCCCCATTGAGTTCTTGATGAAGGCTATTAGTGTCCTGTTGATCTTGTACATTTCAGTATTCATGTATGTGGTATTGAGTCGTAGGCTTTCGTAGTCAATCCAGGTGGTGCACAGATTGGTCTGCCTAGTCTTGCAGTCTCGAGTGACTGCTCTATCGTACCAAAGTCAATGGCATTAACCACTGAGCTGTCCAGGTCATTCATTCATTCATTTCTCTCTCTTTCTTTCTCTCAGATAGATAGAGACCTTTTTCAAAACTATTCAGAAGATGATTAATTAGTATCATGCTGAATCTAATCATGGCTTGATTTTCACTGCTCTGCAGGCGATGCTTGTCTTTATGAAACAATCAAAGGCCCCAAAGACACTGAAAATGGTACAGTATACACCTTTTTATTCTCCTCTCTAACTGTAGTTGAACATTTAAATGTGAGCTTTTGTTTTGCTTGAAGTAAGCACATTTGGTTGCCAGTGCACTTGATAATATTTCTTAAAATGAATCAGGATTAAAACAAGATCCATTTACAATCTTCAAGTTGGGAGACAAATGTGCTAACTATTGAGCCACCAGCTGGGTGCTGGTACTGTGACTCTGTCCATGGAAATGTCAATCAGTGGGTCCACCACTTCAGTCCAGACTGAAATATCTACTCAACCATTGGATTAAATTTTGTATGTTTACAAGATGATGACTTTGGTGATCCCCTGGCTTTGCTCCAAGAGGTTGACCTTGCTGGTTTAGAGTAAAATGTTTTAGCAGCTATAGGATGGATTGCCATGAAAGTTTGTAAAGATATTCATGCTCCCCCGAGGATGCAGCTCAATGACTTTGGTGACTTTTCCTCTAGCACCACCAGCAGGTCAAAGTTTTCAACGTGTCCGATACTTTAGTTTATTGTGAAAAACACCCAAAATATTTATAACGTTTTTAGCAAATGTACTAACATCAGGATTTAGCTCAAAGCACAGCTGTACCTGCAGCTTCACAGGTCTGCTTTCATGGCTGTTTAATAATGGACCTTTGATGGCACATGTGATTAATTATCTCTGCCACATGTTCAATCTTTGATGTAGATTTATTCTGGTTTATGTTATTTCTATCCCCAGGGAAGGGTGTTAGGTCTAATGATTATTCTGAGACTATAGATTTTTTAGTGGTTTAACGGGACGTAAACCATCATTTAATGTTGTTGTCAATGGAATTTAACAGGTTGAAAGTAATTAACTCATATGAACGAAAATAAGATGTTTTTATCTTGAAACTTCAAAGTTTAAAATATGTGTCAAAGCATACTGGAGGTGATGTAACACATATGTCCCTTGTATCTAGCTAAATATAACCCTGAATAAGAAACACTTATTAAGACAAGGCAAGTAATATTTACTTGAATGAAGTCAAACAGCCTTGTACAGTCAGCACTAGATAATCCAATCCATACAAAAAACAAGTGAGATGGGATTAGATTTATTTTCTGTAACTAAAGAATATGTATATTTCAGATGCAGATGAATCCCAGGATGAAGATGTTCTTTGACTGAACTTAAAAACACTGGGAAGAAAGGTGAGTACTCCAGATACATACAATAAATAGAAATACTGTAGTTTAGAGATGTTTGACCTGAAGTGCCAAAAGAAGTACTGATTTATTTTTTCCCTTCACCATCTGGTTATTTTAACAGGGAACAACATGAACCAGAGGAGAGCTCTGTTGACTCTGAGGTGAAGATAGGAACCCCGAGTACAGTCAGTTACAACAGGCATGCTCAGAGTTTGGATTAACATGTGTCAGATCATCAAACAGTTTAACTTTGTCTGTTTCAGGATGTGAATGTTATTGTATGTGTGTGTCATTTGTTTCAATGACATTTTCATCTCACAGACATGGCTGAAACTGAATAGTTTGTCTCATTTTTTTTACTCTCCTGTCGTGCTGTTGCAGATTATTAAATTCCCCCTCCACTTTCTCCAATATTGTTGTGTACGTTACTATACAGTTGTTAAAAAACACAAGGGCATCCCAAATCTTTTTTGGTTGACATTATGAACAGTCAGTTTGTTAGCAGATTATATAAAAGATTTGTGTTGTATGGATTAAATTACTCTCTTTTTTTAGCACAAAGCACAAGACTGCTCAGGTGTATTCCCATTTAGCTTTTTTGAACTGCATTATTATTATTTTTCATTTTTAGTTGTTTTTTATGTTTTTGTTTGAAACTTTGAAATCAAGCAGTTCCAAAAAGCAGCAGCAGGTAACAGTTTGCTAAAGTAAAAGTAAAGATATTTGAGCTTTATTACCCAGATGATAGTGCAGCTGTAAAGTAAGTATCTTCTTCACTGTTGGATGGGAAAGATCCAGGAGGGACGTCAGCAGTTACTTTATTTAAT